CTTAGGTTAACATACTTTACTAGCCTTTTGTTTTGGAGCTTGGATGCAGCCATCATCTTCTCGAGATACAAACAGGAATTATACTGCTCTGGTCATGTAACAATTTGCACTAGACTCGTGAAACTGCAGATATTTGCTTGAGACTCGATTTTTTTCCATTTTTGCAGGAAGTGCACTAAAACATCAGTCAGTAGTGTTTTTAGAGCTTTATTAATGAAAATATTTTTCATGATCACTATTGTGACCGGTATTAAATGAGTTAAATCAGTTAATACACCAATAAAAACAATTTAAAATTGATAAGAGCAAAAACACCTCCATATCAGTGCTAAAACTTTCACTTCAGTATAAAGATACTGAACAATAGCTTCAGATTATGCATGTGTAAAATGATTAGTTAACGAAATATCATGAAGTGCATTCTTTTATGAAAATGTGGGGGCTCTTAAAAGAGCCTGCGTTTTTCTGATAATTGGAACGTGTTTATCCTCCGAAGCCGTACAGAGTGCGTCCCTGAAGGCTTTTAACCTCCGAAGCCGTACAAGGTGCGTCCCTGTCGCTTCAGCGCGTACACCACGTCCATGGCGGTGACGGTCTTTCTCTTGGCGTGCTCGGTGTAGGTGACGGCGTCGCGGATCACGTTCTCCAGGAACACCTTCAGCACACCGCGAGTCTCCTCGTAGATCAGACCGGAGATGCGCTTGACGCCGCCGCGGCGCGCCAGACGACGAATAGCGGGTTTGGTAATTCCCTGGATGTTATCCCGCAGCACTTTACGGTGGCGCTTAGCGCCTCCTTTCCCGAGTCCTTTACCGCCTTTGCCTCTTCCAGACATTGCTAGAGAGCTTCAAGCGTCTATGTGGTACAATAGATAGAACTTGTAGAAGCAGAAGGTGTGCGAGAAGAGCTTTACAGTAGTTTACAGGACCTAGTTGAAACCAAGCGGCAACCTCCTAGTCTCTCGCTTGAAGCCAATACGGAAGTGACTAAAACTGCAATTCATCGACTGGCCGCTAGAGGCTGGCTCCAAAAGGGAGTCAGTCCCATAGACTCCCCATGTTAAAATGCCCAACTTTACAGCAGAAAAAATATATTTACAGCCTGGTACAAAAAGTGCTTTTGGTCTATATAGGTAATTTTGCCCTTCATGACAACTGTGAGGGGGGTTAATTTTTTTATAACTCATCCGTTTAAATTATATTAAGCCTTAAAGTTCTGCATAATTAAGGGCGTGACCACTTGAGTGACAGGTGGATTGCCGCTCTGCTCCAGTGAAACTTGCTAGAGTGTGAAACTTAGAAAAATGGCTTTAAAGATTTTTATTTGTCCAGAAAAAAATTATTATGGGTAGGACACTGGAAATCTGTCAATTAGATGTTTTAATGAAAATGATCTCAAACTTGATTTTTACCGCTATTTTTAAGTTATTGTAGGCAGTGGCGGCTCATTGGAGAGGCAGGGGAGGCACAGCTTCCCCATAATTTTGAATTGAAAATGGGAGGAGGACGATTTAATGTTAATACAATTCACAATTCATTTCAGTTGTGTCTCAGAATGTGTATTTTTTGTTTGTAATTTCACAGTTGAGAAATTTTTTTCACATAACATGAAAGCGCCGCTTTTGTATCGCGAATGTGCCGAATCTGCTGATG